AGGGGAATCCCAGAATGCAGATTCACGAAGTTCCCAACAAATCTGCACATGTACAAGTATACTTTGGCTTGGGAGGAAAAGGGTCATCTATTTTGAAAAAATTCAACTTGATCCCAATTTACATAATCTGTTTTAAATTTAAATTAAACTTTAAGATTCAGATGTCAGTTTTGGCCAACTGCTTTTTTAACTAATCACTTCATATATTTACACATTGAGATGGCCTGGAAATATCTTGAAAACACTCAGCCTTAAGTATCGTACAGCTACAAAAAACTGCTTTGTATTTACACATTCTGACATGAAGCGGGATTTTGTCATTCCCAGACTTTGATATTATGAAGCCCAAATGTTCAATGATTTAATATTGTCAGCCTGCATTCATAAAAATGCAGGTAACAGTCTCCATTCCTCTGAAGGTTGTCCTCCTGAAGAGCGACGTGAGTATTGACCTAATCGGCTTATCCACTTGACATCCATATTGAAACTTTATGTTTATTTTTCTTCTTAGGCTTCTTTTTCTTGTTTGCATTAGGCATGCCAGATGCTATACTTAAAAAAAAAAAATTTTTTTATGGTAACCACAAAGCTTTGGTCTGTTTGGACACGAAAATCCTACCAGTTTTGAGTCCTGCAAAGTGTTTGTGCTGCTGTGCAACACATTTTCTCACTAAGAGCAGATTCTTTGGTTGTCAAAACACGTGATACTAGTTGAAGATTAGGCACAGGTATCAAGTTGCCTCGATGAAGAAGCGATAGCACAAGGTGATTTTATCATCCCTTTGTCTTTAGTTGCTTTTTCAACCCAACCGGCACATTTCATTGTCTCCATTCAGAGTGTAATACTTCACTGATTGGAATTTTTGCATTGTTTTTGCTATATTTGAATAACAAAAAAAGCCCCCCCAAAAAAATCAAAAGTACCCCAATAATAACTTCTGCGATTTAAAGGACGTAATCTTATCATAGATCTGCTGGAGTGCTGTGCACTGCATTGCTTCAGGTGTGAATTGCAGTTTAAACCATGAAGCACGCACGCACACAATCATGCATACACACAAACACACACACACAGACAAGAGCTTTTAGTACAGAGAATCAGGGAGACAATTACAAAGCAATATCCAAGCAGATACTCACCAGCTCTCTCACAGAGGGAATTTGGCAGCTCTCTTAGAATTGATAGCTATTTAGCTCACAGATAGTCATCTGTTTTAATGCATTAATTTTGTATTAACAGCACTGCCAAATTTAATGTTGGAAATTAGGGTATGATCATAATGGTATACGGCTGTGTGTGTGTGTGTTTGTGTGTGCGTATTTGTGCGTGTTTGTATGCGTACATTTTTGATTCTCTTTTTGTCTATACTTTTGTATGTGTTGTTACGTGTACACGTTGTATTATACGGCTCCTTTGGGAGCCATTCTTTGGAATTACCGGCTTTCTGTCTCCCTTCCACCCTTCCAGTAATGCCCACCTCCATCTTGTGCTAGCTGGACTCTCTCTGCAACCACACTGTTTTGTGTTAAAGGTCCACTTTTACTTTGCATTTAAGTGGATGGAAATGCAGATGTATGCAGTGCTCTGGGTGGGTGGTGAAACTGATACAGGCATGCGTTGCCCACTCAGAGGGCAAGGTGCACTGTAGAGTTGTGAGAGAGAGGATGGGGTGGTGCTCACACCGCCCCTGTCCCTCTTTACCTGAAAAAGCACCGAGCACTGCTTCAGCCTCCACAGCAAGAGGTAAGGTGCTCCATCGAAGAGAGAGGCTTAAAAAAACTATGACTGCATTTCATTTTTTACTGTAACAGCTGCTACTGTACAATGTGAAGCTTCAGAAAGCTCGCTTATTTAGCTGTTTTATTAGTCGCAGTTTTGCAGCACTTTCATTGCCTTTAATCGTGTTTAAAAATCTCCCAATCACTGCTGCAATATTTTTAATATGTTATTATATAGGCAGCCACAAACACTCGCCCAGCTGAATCTCCTATATAACTCCTGTAAATTCCTAGACAGTTCAGTGGTATTGAATCCATGCCACTGACCCAGCCAGATTCCCCCCATTATGCTCCACAGCTCCCCTGTAGTTGGGGCCTTGATAGGGCAGTTAGAAACCTAAGAGCCAGGCACACCAACTCCTCCCAACCCAACATGACTTTTTCATTAAGCTGCCAAATTCCTGCACTCCAGTTGGAGGTGATTTATCAACTGGGGGCTTCATTGCAGGTTCATAGGAAACAGACATAGGCCCTGTCTCATACATTATTATGTTTCACATTCAAAGTGTATATGCATGTGTGCACACAATCGGAAAAGAAGCTGGCCCGCAAGCGCACTTTGTCCAAGCAGTTTGTACAGTTAGATAGATCATAGTCTATCACGCAATCAATATTAGAGAAAGTGTGATATGATCAAATGCGCATTGTTGTTCATTGGTCAAAAGTATTTTTTTTACACCATCGTCCTCTCCCTAATACTGAATGAGCGGCGACCACCTCACTCTCCTCTCTCGTTCACGAGCTCTGTAAAGGGCTCCAGACTGCTTTGGGTCATGGCCAATATAAGAGATGGGGAAAGTGTTGGTTTACAGGTGTAACCATTTGACATTGTAGACAGAGCTACAAACAACGGGGCTAGCCAGATCTGGCCCTGTTGAGGACATCTTCCTGGCCAGTCGAGGTTTATAGTGAATTATGGCTGATTCTGGGGCAGGCAGTCTCAGGTTCACTCCTATATAAACCCTGTGCTTTTTATGGGAAGCTGTAAAACTCCCAGGACTTTTTTTTTCTGCCTCATGAGACTAGCTTTGAAGTCTTGGTCAGGTGCTGTCACTTTTTTAAAAACTGGTTTTCTTGCAGATTTTTGGAGTCTTGAGTCATTTGCAGCAAGAGCTCCTTTTTTAAACTTCAAGACATCTGCTATGACTAAAAGAAATTTGATTGATTTGATGTCATCTATAACCAAATCTGTCTCTCAGATTTCTCTCTGCCTTAGTCCTGATGCAATATTTGTGCACAGAGGAAAAGGAGGAGCCCCCCC